TCTCTGGCCCAACAACGTCATGGAAGTAAATTCATAAATCTAATCTCCGACATGCTGATCACCAACAACAGAATCACCGGCAGTGTGCACTCAGTTTCCATCTGTCCATACTGTAGCTGCAGCGGCATGTTACATATCCGTATTGTCAGTAACAAACGAATCCATCGAACTGAGTTCGGTGAGCCAGCGTCTCTAGCTCCGGGTCTCATTCGCTTACAATCGCCCTTGTGTTTGTGGGGGACCGTATCGTGTGTGACATGTTCATACGGGTTACGTAGCACCGTCAGTCACCGTGCTTTATCTCAGCATCATTTGACAAACTTACCCGGCCGATCAACTCGTTCACGAGAGAGTGAAAAGAGAGAGAGATAGTGGGATCAACTCTTAACGTATATTCCTCGTTATAAACAATCTGACGAGCTCTGGACGCTGAATGTCGTGGCGTGGAAGACTCCCAACTGACGGGACTCAGGCAGAAGCAGCACCCTCTTAAGGTGAGCTTTATGGAACTTCCACTCGTTCGAGATCCCAGTCGTCAACTGGTTTGTCCCGCCTTCGGTGTTCTCGACCGCGTCTGAATACCGGGTGACGTGGATGATGCGTAAGCCCGCTAACTCGGGCACAGCCCACTGTCTCTGCGGCTGTGCGATACACGGTGGGAGTCATTGATAGAGACGCTCTAACAGCCACTGTCATCTGTCCTTGGACATTTAGTTAACTCACGAATCTAATCTGCCGTATGCATATTGATGGCAGCGCAATTCACTGGAGTCATTGGGGGAGTGGGTTCGTTTCGGATGGCCTTGCTAGTTCCATAATTTCACGTCGGTACGTCGTCAGCTCAACGTCATGTTAAAATGAAGGTTTAGTCATTTGGTTTTCTCCGTGATCTTCAGATAAGTATTGGGTGTCTGCCTTGTTCCTGCAGTGTTATAAACAACTATTTCCGCATTACTTCAATTCAGCCTGCTGACACGATTTTTTCACTTTTCCTTCCGGAATTGCACATTTCCCTAAGTTTCTTCTTGTGAAATTTCGAAAATCCACTAGATGGCGATTTAATAAAGGCTTTCTTTTCCATTGTGTTCTGGTGATATATCACAATCTTAGTTCAGCTCCAATTCAATTTTCACGCGCTACCGAAGAGTATATTCCTAATTCTAATCGTAAACTTGACACGAATGTTAGTAAAACAGTATAATGTCCCGCCAGTTTGCGGTTTCTAATCACTCAGTAGACTAAATTGTCGCTTCTTATACAAAAGGATGTAGACACAGGTCTGAGTTCTTCCAACCTGTGTGCGACTGATCATTTCATTCACTACCCTATCTCTGGTTCTCCCCAGTTCAAGCCGAGAAGTTGTAGTGGTGATGTACCAGGTTAACGCTGGCTGGACAACCTGCAGTGTGGCTCCTTGACCTGGTGGTGGCGCATGTCCGCCGTTGGGGGGGTGGGGTGATTGATAAGTCGCCTCGGCTTGACCTTACCGATGACCTGACTGAATGCGCCGCGCCCATTCTACCTTGGTCTCAGTGAGCATAAGGACACGAGAACCAGGTGAGGGCCAATCCGCGGACTGTTTAAACTGCCGTCCGCGAGGCACACCCAAAGTCCAGTCTGATGAGATGTCTTTGCGCAAAAGACCGCCCATTAAGCTCAGACAAGTTACTAGTGTATTTATCTTATCCTTTTCTATATGCCCCAGCCGTTCTTTGTCGTATCCGCCCCAGCGCATTTCAAATCGTCCTTGACGGTTACTTGAGAATTCCTTTCGTGCTGAGGTCGACGAACCAGTGCTTGATAAACACCTACTAGACCTGGTTTATCTGCCTTCAATTCCCTTAACATTTAGACACCGCACTGTTCGAATCGGCCATGTGCGTGCCTATAATAGTGGGATTCGCCGCATTGTTATTACAGTAAGTCTATTTCCGGCATTTCAATTGTCATCTACCGTCAGAACTGCCAGAGCTACTACCGCTAGTGTCGCCACCGCTAATGGTAGCAAAAAAACGCCTATCTCATCCTTACTGTCACTTCACATCCGCATTACATAGAATATTTTTTTGAATTCTCTTCCTACGGATTCTCAAACGTCAGTGAGATGTTTATTTCCACATTGTTCCTTTCCTCTGTGCTTTTGGTATTACATCGTTATTAATTTTAATGATTTACTCGACTTATACCCGCAAATTAGGATGAATGCCGGCAACACAGTGTAATTTTTGGGCAGTATGTCATTACCGACAAAGACGAAGGCGATTGAAATGACCATTTCTGGTTTATTAGCCGTAGGCAGTCAGTCATACCCAACCCCGAAGTGTGGAACACCCGAGGCTCAAACACGCGACCTGTTAGTTAGAAGTCTAACGCCTCTAACCACTGAGCCAAGGGCTCGTTGTTCTGTCGGTTTCGATCGGGAACCTACAACAGTAGGGGGCGCTCACCGATCTTTCTTGTCGGTAATGACATACTGCCTATATAATGCTCCGCTGTGCGACTGCTGGTTGTCTCGAGAGAGAGAGAGCTCGTGAGCCACAACGGAACGAGTGAGTTCTGTAAGAACGATCGGTGAGCGCCCCCTATCAGTGTAATTTTTCGAAAATTCGGGATTTCTATTCACTTAATAGACTGAATTTTATCTTTGCATCAAAAAGAATTTAGGCATAGGTCTGAGTTCTGCCAACCTGCGTGCGCCTGATCACTTCATTCACCGCCCTATCTGGCTCACCCCAGTTCAAGCCATGAAGTTGTAAGAGGCAAACCCACTAGTTGGGCACAGCGAGTAGGCTATCCAGGAAACGAAAATAGCAGTATCCCAACAGTTACAAACTAGTAAATAAGAACAAAGTCGTCGGCAGGTAAAAGTGCACGTGCGTTTTCTTTGTCTTATTCAAAGTTGTGTCAAAGCGTATTGTAATTGATTAAAACCAAACAGACTTAAATGTCACTACAAAGTTATGGTGGTGTTTGGGATTTGTCAGCGTGGGATATGTACCAGGTTAACGTTGGCTGGGCAGCCTGTGGTGTGGCTCCTTGAGCTGGTGGTGTCGCATGCTCCCCGTTTGGTGTGATGATTGTTAAGTCGCCTCGGCTTGACCTTACCGCTGACCTGATTGATTGTGCCGCGCCCATTCTACCCTGGTCTCAGTGGGCATAAGGACACGAGAACGGGGTGAAGTTCAATGCGCGGACTGCTTGAACTGCCATCTGAGAGGCACGCCCAAAGGCCACCCATTAAGTTCAGACGAGTTGCCAAGGTATTTATCTTACACTCTAATTTCTGCTTTGCAGGGCCTGAATCCCGTGCGAAAATTCCGCCTAAGTGTTTTAGTTGACCGAAATTAATGGGTGAGGTTGGCGCCGTCACTCCCTCCCCCCGACGGGATTTTAAAAGTGTCTAGCATCTTTCGATAGCCGAAGAGCAAAAACGGCACCTCTATTCAGGTCTATCCGATTTCGTCCTTTGAGAAGACTCACTGAAAGACGATGCATGTACCTCTAAGCACGAACCGATTGCTCTTCTGGTAGGTTGTTTTCAATAATTGTACTGCGCACCGAACTCTACTTTTAAGTTTACCTATTCCCATTTGAAACAGCCCACAACGCAAGTCTGAAGAGG